TTTGGCAATATAATAAAGAATTGGAAAAATAATAAGATAGCTTATGGTCCTGTAAAAATTCAGTAGCCAGACTAAAAAGAGACAAGGCACTATGCCCTCAAATTCTTTCTAAGGTCATATTTTCACAATTTTTCTTTTAAATTGTTAGAGCAGTTAGTACAGAGCTGTTGCAGAAAGGATCTGACTTCCAAAATAAAAGAATCATATCCCATTACAACCTCTTGAGCCTTCCACACATAAGCTATAATTTCAAGTTCCACAGAGAAGAATCAACTGTTGCAAGCACCATCCATGCCAACACTTAAGATTGATATGTCTTTAAAAGAAGCATCAGGAATAATGCCAACAACAGGTCAAGGAGACACAGCCCTGAAATAGCGAAGTGAAAGCCTAGGGAACAGTTTTATAGTGGTGCTAAAAGGACAATTTTTTGCACATCAGCCATCCTACAGAACACCACCAACACTATATCCTCTCATCAGTTTGGTCAACAGCTTCAGATTCTTGCTAATACTGGAGTTGCCCAAGAGCCCTGAATGCCTGGGTGGAAGTATCATCATCTTTACTCTGCTGCTAAAAGATCGTCCACACATCCAAACATTCATCTTGACCTTCACACTCCCACTCTCTACCAGGATTATTTCTGAGGTTCCAAGACTCTGATCAGCCTCAAGCAGCTTTCAGTTACATTACACAATTTTAGACTACTTCAAAATAATGAAGAATTCCTCCGCTAAATTGAAATGCTCTCAGATACATGATGGACAACATTAATTCTTGTACTAGTGAGAAGTGTAAGGTCTGACAGTTTGGGGGCCATTAAAAGGAAGACTGAAATGCATTATATCAAAGGTATGCTAAGAATCCTCCTCATGAAGCCATGCAGCCCATTGATCCCTCTGATGGCAGGTCATGAGACAGCAAGCCTTACAAACTTGACATTATGCAAAAGCATATGTTTGATATGTAGCATATGATAGATTTTTAGAAAGCTCTGGAAACAGCTAACCAAACGTTCTCTTTTCTTTTAATGACACTAGTTAGTAAGGCGGTAACAGTATGGACTAGTTTAACAGGAGACAAAATGGAAGGAACTCTGAAACCTCTTGCAAGTTAGACTGCCAAAAAGATTTGAATTGAAACATGTTGTGGTGGAACATTTTAAGTGACATAAATTTAGTACGAGTGACTTATAAGACAATAAACTTCTTAGTTAAAATATACTTATATTTGATTGAATGTCCTTCATATAACACCAAGCACATAATTAAAACAGTTTATCTCTGCACAAAGCTAGTGAAGTTGCACTTAAAAACTCCCAAGCAGTACATAGTGCTTAACATATTACAAAGGAAAAATAGTTCCGGTATTCAAATCAAATATTTTATGGCAGATGTAAAGTTGCTAGTTTTACAGGTAAAAATCTAGTGAAAAATACAAACTTCATGTAGAGGCACAATCATAATTTTAAAAAGCGGATTTTTTTATTACGGTAAGTTCTTAGTTTAACGCAGAAAAAGTATTTTTATGGTATTTGAAAAGCCCTGCTTCAAAATAGAAACCAGGAGGTCACCTGTAAGAATTTCCTTTTGCTATTTAATTATCATCACTGCAAAATAATTGCAAAATGAATTCTAGCATAGTCTGGCAAGACCTGCAAGTAACCACTGAGTTATTTATTTCTCTAATTCTTTCCTCTAATCCATTCAAAAAAGCTCAAGTTATGTCTCCATGCTTCCTCTAAAGAGAAATCAAGTCTCAGAACAGAAAGGGAAACACAGGGGAAACATAAAAACGAAGTAAGAGGATCATGGGTAGAACATTTTCCTAAGCAAGTTAGCCATGGTCAATCTAATCTGCTTTTCTTTTAAGAAAGTGTATGTCCTAAACCATAAAGTGTGAAACATTACACAACTCTATCATTTATGTAAGAAATCATCCTGGTGGCTCCAGTGTGGATCATATGATACTGTGGCACTAGAGTAAGTAAAATTAGGTAAGGCACACGGAGAAAACTTTTGAAAAATGTGTCAGATTTCATAGGCATTGAGATAAGGATGACAACAATCTAAGTAGCTGCTATTTAAGCAGAGAGATGCATGAATGCTACATTTCAAATGACCTTTTAATAGAGGAAATTAGGCAACAGCTTGATTAATGACAGCACTGTAGACCCATACTGCTCAGGAACATAACTGAAAGATAACTGCACTGAAGAGATTAGAAGGGTAAGAAAGGGGAGGGCAAATATAATTGTAG